GGATGTGGTAATGGCAGAACTGTAGCAACATGCCTCCCTCCCACCCCCCCTTCTCCACCAGCGGTGTGGGGCACAAAGCTGCACACTGCTGCAGCCCAGCCATTTTGGGTGCTGGGAAGGACCAAGCTCCTCACCACTCACCTCCCAGCCTCCTGCCTACTCCCTTTCCTAATCCCAGGTTACATCAGCAGACTGCAGACCCCAGACCCCATCCTGGCCAGCGCTGTGGCACATCCTTGGAAAGCCTACCCACAGGCTGCCCATGCTCCCATAACCCTTGCTGTGGTAACAGGGGTTGAACCAGCTCTGGGTTCACCTGATTTATTCCAAATGGCCCTGTCCCACACAGATCCTCTCAGAATAATACTAATGGCCATGTTTATAGTCAGCAGTTTGCAAGAAATTCCCTCCCCACACCTATCAGTGCTAGTTTTACCATTTAACTTTCAGGAGCTGCATTCATTCTTGATCCCTGTGCCAGAAATGCATGAGCTGCAGATCTCTCGCCTTGCCCCAGAGATGTGTATCTGAGATTCATCCCCTGCAGTTACTGATCGTGTGAATTACCACAGCACCTCACAGCCCTTGTCCTGGGATGCCTCAGCACCAGCTGTGTGCACGTGCATGTGTCTGCCAGTGGTAATGGCACGAAGAAGGTGCCTGAAGGATGGTGACACCACCAGGGTGAGGTTGGGAGCCCTCTTCCCAAGCCCAGGAGGTAACAACCCATTGCTTGGTATCAAATAAGGGTTGCTTGGCTGGGTGGGATAAGCCATGACACACCTTGAGAATGAAGGCAACAAGCAGAGTCTGATGTGATGCAAGGTGGGGACGTACAGGCAATTGTATCAATTCTGTCCCCCAGGACCTGTTTCCAGATCAGACACAGCTTTGCTGTTGTCCAAATCACTCCTTAGGCAGACTGGAGCCAGCAGCAAGGCCCAACAATCCTGGCCAATATTCTCACTAGAAAATTCAAGTCAGACTCACAGCCAAGCACAGAGCAGCTCCACATGGGGAAACCCATAGGTGGGCTGACTTTGGTCCCTGACATCTGGGTCCATGCATCGGTCTTGTCCTTTCTGTGAGTGCAGGAGGCTGTTCAGTGACTGGCCATAAGGCTGCTCTGACCTGGTAGGGACATATTTTTGCAAATCCCATCTAAACAGATGCTCACCAGACTTACACATCACATCAGCTTTTCGGGAAGCCCAAAGCAGACTTACTCTCAGCTCCCAACTCCTGTCTGCCCAGACTCAGTACTCCAAAAAGGATTTTGCTCCAAGTGAGTAATGCTCAGCCTGCTACAGAGTACACCAAAAACAGACAGGTCAAAGAGGGAGACTCACCAAGTGGCTTTCCTATACAGCTGGTGCCATTGCCACAACTTTTATTTATTCTTAAATTGGATGCTCTTAACTGCTCTGGGCCAGTGCACAGCGAATGCAGACCACAGCAAATGAAATAGCACAACAGAAAGAGCACAATGAGAGCTTGTTCCATCCACTCAAAATGCCACCCACTGCCTGTGGGAGATGACAGCTAGACAGGCAGGATGGCCCTGTACCAGCTTCCCCACTTGGAAAATCCCCAGCCTCCAGCTCCAGTGGGTGGCTGTGGGAATTGGTAGGGAGGTCAGCCCAGCATCAGCTCAGCCCATGACAAAGTGGATGTCCCCTGTATGGTGGCCATGCCCCAGCTTGCCTGAAGCATCAGCAGAGAACAAGCCACCGGGCTGGAGACAAGCTGCATCCCATGCAGTCAGCACAGGGCAGGCTCAGCTGCTCTCTGCTCCAGCAGGGACACTGCTGGAGTGTGCTCAGAGCCTGTTCAAGAGCAGCCAAGTGCTCCAGCTCCATCTCAAGTCAAGAAGCCTTGAGTCTTCTTCCTCTGCAACCCAAAACCTGAGCATTGCGTTGCAAAGTGGCCCCAGTCCCAAGTGCAGGAGGAAAATTCCCGTGCAAGTGAATCCCCAGCTGCACTCCCCTTCTCCTCTCCTCCTATTCCCCTTCCTGCTCGAAGCAGGCAGGGCTGGGTAAGCCACTCCTGGGTGATTCACTCCCCAGCAGGCAGAAATGCTTTCTTGGATACACACAGCTGGGCACAGGGCAGAGGCACAAGCCCTCTGATCCGAGTTGAATCACTGCACCCCAAATGAGCTCCTGCATGCAGGGACAGGGCTCCCACCGAGGTCGTGGCAAGGTGAGTATTGCAACAGTACAACGGGTGACTCACCAGCAGAGAAAAATGCCATTTGGGGCAGGAATTGGGAATGGAGGTGGAGAGCAACCTGCCAGGGCACAAACCAGGGGTGTAAGTCACACAAACATCCAGGTCTGTCTCAGGGTGATGAGGAGACAAAAGTTGTGCAGAGCAGTGAGAAGGCTGAGGGAATGGTGTTGGATGAGTGAGCCTGTCCAGGGAGTCCTGGGCTCCTCATCATCCTGATGGGGCTGCTACATCCCAGGGCTGTCTGAGCTCAAGCAGAAAAGATCCTCATTCAGCCACAGTGCTGGGAGTTTTTCCTTTATTTTCAGGACAGGATCTACCCATGGAAGCCTCCATGTGAACAGGATGGTCACCCAAGGTTTGGGCTGGATAATGTCGGGTGCATCTCGCTGAACTCCACTGCAGTCAGACTCCCACACCAGACAGTGGCACTGCCAGGCTCAGGGAAAACCACCCCATGGCACATTGTTCCTATCCTGTGTTCCTCAGTCCCAGGGGCAGTACCCATGCCCCAGCAATGAGCCAATGTCCCCAGCACCCAGATGCCTCCACAGGCACTGCTTTGGGTAATTCCAGTGGCATGCCTTGCACTTGCCCTACAGGGTAACACACTTTTTCCCACACCCATGTTTTCTCGCTTGAAGGCAAGGCAGCCTTGATCAGCGTTTCCATGTTGTGTTGCAACAAGACACAAACTCCCTCGAGTCAACTGTCCCAACAGTTTTGCCAGGGGCAGCAGGAAAATGGGCAGAGATTCCCAGTAAGGTATTAAGGCTTTCCTAATTCCTGCTAGGAAATGTGTGTCCTTAGTGCAGGGCACAGCCTGGCCTCTACTTCCGAGGGGAAGGTGTTGGCTGGGAGCACCAATGCTGAGATGACAAGTCATGATGGAAAGCTGGCAGGGCATCCTCCCTCATCCCTCCAAGCCAGCTGGATTTTCCCCCGGGGGCTGCAGAGGAAGGGAAACAGGGTGCCATGAATCACCCACACCCAGGGTAGCAGAGGGGGTTCCCCTGTCTCCCTCTAGTGACTGCAGTCCTCAAAAGATTTCAGGTTCATTAGCTCATTTGGATCATTAGCTCAAGCTGCAGCTCCTGTGGTTCATGAAGCCCTGGGACTTATTGTTCCACAGGGCAGAGCCCACAGCACTCCCTGAGCAGTGTCCCCAGAGTGGTGGCAGTGGTCATGTATATGAAAACAGCATGTCAGAGCAGGGGTACAGAGCCAGAGCCTTGTTGTGTAAGATGCTGTTCAAATGGAGAACAACAAAAAAGTAATATCTATCTATATAAATAAACCAGGAACATCTCCACTGGGAATTTCTAAAAAAAAAAAAAATTAAAAAAAAAAATCATCACCCTTTGGGATGCAAAGCAGCTAGGCCTGGAGAGCAGCTAAGAATCGTTATTAAATAAATTAATTAGTTCAGCAGAGCCCGCCAGGTACTGAACACTTTCCACTTCCAAGCACGTAAATGAGTCCGTGGGAACAGAGGCTGCTCCACGCCTGCCAGGCAGCACAACCTGCATTTTAATGGTAATGCAATTTCTGCAGCTCTGCCCCTGGAAGCAGCACACTGGGGTGCTGTGTGACCCCCCAGGAGGGACCAAGGAGACCCCCGATGCCAGGGACCACAGCTACCTCTCTGTGGGCCCCCATGCCCACAGGAGAAGGGGGTTGTGGCAAAGGGATGTCTGTGCTCGGCATAGCCCAGAGCTTCCCCTGCTGGGAAGCAGCAGGTCTGGAGCCAGGGCTGTGGTCGAGTGGCACTGAGCAAGGCTGGCGGGGCGAGCTGTGCCCCACGTGCAGGGCTGAGCATTGCCTTGGAGAGCACAGCCCCACGCTTTGCATCACCAGCTGCTGCTGTAGGCAGGCAGGATGCCTTTGATCCCCTCCCCAGCCCTGTCTCGCTGCCTTTAAACTCCAACTTTCCTCACCCTGGGGTCTGGCAGGAGCAGGCTGAGCAAAGACTCCTCTCCCATCCTAATTGCAGCCGACACTGGCAGGCACGAGCCAGGCAGGGCAGGGCAGGGCAGGTGCAGAGCAGGTGACAGGGCAGTGCTGCCCTCCCTGCCACCTGTAGGTGTGAGCTTGGCTTTGATCCAGATCAGCAGGAAGTGACCCAGGGCCAGGCTGTGGGGCAGAGCACGCTGAGAGGAGGCAAAGGAAGAGGAAAACACGAGCTGGGGAGGGAAGGTGGAGGTGGTAAGATAGGACTCTCCTTCCCTACCTCCAGGGCAGGTCCAGCTGCAATGACTCTTCCTGCCTCTCCCACTCCAGATGTTATGCATCAAAAGGTGTCCAAATCCCTGTCCTACACCAGCTTTGCTAAAACTCTGAGAATTTCAAGGGTACAGTAGAAAATCCACTGAAAAACACCAGCAGTGCTCCAGCCTCTCTTTCCAAAGCAAGCATTCATCAGGGAAGTGGGGAGGTAGGTCTCTGTTGTAAGAGGAAGTTCACAATTACAGCACAAGTCATTACTGGAAAATAAAATTCCCTGGCATGTTGCAAATAAAATCTGAATTCCCCAGTCTGGGGTGCAAGACAGCCCACAGCCTTCATTCCAGGGCCCATCTGAAAGATAAAGTGAGATGATATTTGTGATGGTGGAGACAGATAAAAGTCGGTAGGGGAAAAAACTCCGGGAGGGCATTTCAAACAACGAATATTACATCCAAAACAGCACAAGACTCCCTTGCAAAAAGAAGTCCCCAGTGAACATGCATTGCTGAAAACCCCTGAAATTAAATCTCTGTGCACACACCCACCTGTAATCTGAGCAGCACTATTGCAAACCACTCCAGAGAGCACGATCACGTTGTCTCTTCCTCTCCTTAGGGGAAATAGAATTATTCAGTCACTGAGAACCTTTGAACAGACCTTATTTTTCACCGTGGGCGAGGGCAGCCATTCTGCAGACCACAGATGTGTCCAGGGCATACCAGGGCATCCAGCTGCTGCAGCACACCAGGGCCAGGGTCTCTGCCTTCATTCCAGCACTGGGGTACCAAGAGTGACCCACAAACAAGCAGTCAGTGCTCTTCCCACCCAGCAATGGATGGCCATTGAGGTTGATTCCTTATTGGACCCTGATCCCCACCCCAGATCAACCCTCAGCATTCCCCATGGAGGCTTGTCCTAAGAGCAGAGCACAACCCAACCCTCTGAGCGCTCCTGCCTGCCCGTACAGACATACCTGTACAGATGTGCCTGCCCATGCAAACACACCACCTGCCCATTCCTCCCAGCCTTCTCCAGAGCTGCAACAAGCCCCCAAGAGGAGCTCCCCAAGAGGCTGCAGAAGCATGTCTTGTCACCCCACAGCTGAGCAATCCACAGATTTGCCACGACTTGGGTAGGATTAGGCAGACCTGCTGCCAGGCTGAGCAGCCCAGGGAGGACAGATTATTCCTGCCAGGAGCCAAGGCTCTGAAAAGGGACATTGTTTCATGGATGATTTGCCCTTTCCCCCTCTCACACACACAGATCTGTAGCTCCAATATGGCTTTTTTGCAAGGCACCTGCTACCCCCTGCGGTCAGCGATAAGATCGGAGAGGGATAACCATGGGAAGAAAGGAGAGAAAGCCGGGCTGACCAGCTGAACCTGGGATGGTCTGCAGAGGGGTTGAGCCCTGTCCAGGTGCTCAGCCTTGCCCGAGCCCATCCAGCTGCTCCAGGTGTTGCACACTGATCTGAGGGCACCCCAGAGCAGAAGATGCTCTGCTCCCCTTTCAGGCCAAACCCTGGCTTCAGTCCCAATAGCTCCCACTGTGCCCAGGAGCCATGTGTTCCCAGTCCTTGCTGGAGGGAACAGGTTGCAATACCTCACTCCCCCTCCCCAGCCCATCTTGGCTCAGGGCACGCAGGCAGCTGGGAGGAGGCAGTGTTGGAACGGTGACCTCAGGCCCTGCAGGAGCTTGATTTGGGAAGGCAGTGCACACTGTCCTGGCCTCCTCATGCAACCAAACCCTTTGCCGAGCTGTGAGTATCAGGGCAGAAGGCAACCTTCACCTTCTCAACGAATAAAATGCTCGAGAAGGGAGGATCTGATTTCAGGGGCCCTACAGCAGCAAGCCCACACCTCCAAACACAGTCTCTCTGTTTAGCCATCAGCCTTCCCCAGGAGAAGGTAATAGCTCAAAGGTTGTTTCACAGACATGCTCTGGCTGCAGAGCTCCATTATTTCTCTTTGCCCTGTGAGATCTCCCAACCCCTTGCCCATGGCAGCACTTCACTCCTCAGCACAGCTAGTCCCACCTATGGGGACTTACCCTTATCACCCTTCTGCTCCAAAACCAGCACTCCAGCCTGGCTTGGGTCACACCAAAGTGCTCTCAGAGAAGTGATGGGCAATCTCCTCTACTGCCCTTAACCTTAAACTTAACCTTAACCTCCAGCCAGCCACTCCCCTCCCCTTTATCGGGTCTATCAGCAAACTCCCCACCTGCACCTTTTCCCCATACCCTTTCTCTGCCAGCACAACCCCTGCCTGAAGGTGATGCAGGCAGACCCACATCAGCATGGCATACCTCAACATGACCTCTAAACTTTGGGAACTCAAATAAAAATGGGCCTGAGAAATAAACCAGCCTCCCAGGTTTACTTTTAAAGCTCAGTGCAAATGAATCCAGAGGACATTTTGCAAAAAATCAACATTGCCTCCTGCTGCAGCATTTCAACTCTGTTATTAAAAAAAAAAAAAAGAAACTCCTGGATTATGGGATGGCTTGGTACCAGGTATGGTTAACGGGTCAGATGTGCAGCCTAGTAAAGAGGTTGAAGAGTGTATTGAGGTCTCTGCAAAGCCTCCTGCAAAGGACTCAGTGGGAGGATTTGCACCTGCTGAGCAAGGAAGAGTTCCTGGGGCTGTGCCCCTGAGACCCAGCGGTCCCAGTGGTCAGGGTTGCTCAAGTTCCTGGGCACCAGGGTTCACCTGCTCTGCTGGGAACAGAGCAGGAGCGCCGGGTGCAGGAGTCACGTTCGCGCCCTGGCTCCCTCCAAAACACTCACGGATGGTTTGGAGCAGGATGCCAGAACCACCCATCATCATACTTCACTTTTTTCCTTTAGTCTTTGCCTTAATCCTTTAATGAATTAAGTGGAGCAATTAAGCAGGATTTTTATTTCTTTTTAAAGTGAACGCGCATGAAAATGAAGATGGGTATTTTTGCTTTTAATATGATAATTAATGCAAAGCCCCTCAGCTTTAGGGATTCTCCACACCTCCTGCCCAGCCCTTTTTCTGTTTATCTTTCTGGCAGATTGCCTCTCATATTTATTCTAACAAAGGTTGCCCCTTCCTCTTGCTCATGTTATGCCTGAACTGCACAGATGAGGGGGAGGAGGGAAGGGTGGAGACTCAGAGCTGCTTCAGAGCAAAAGCCCCAACCCAACAATGATGGTGCAGAGCCCAGCCACAGCAGAAAATGAAGAAACCTCCTTTCTGGGGACGCTAAGAGGGTCCCACCACCCTGGGGCTGAGTCAGCATCATGAGCAAAGCCCTGGCACCTCTCAGGGACATGTTGCCTGGTGTTACAGGCAAAGAAGAGGTACCTGCTGCCTTCCCCTTCCCATGCATGGCCTTACTGCACATGTCTTCCAGAGGTTCGAGGCGCACCAGGAAAGCTGTGTTAAGAGGGAATGCTGAATAGATGTTGTATTTGCTATCCACCAACGTATCCAGCCTTCATCTCAAACCCAGCTTGAGATCTTATGCCCAGCTCACTGGGGAAGGATCTGCTGGACAGAGTGCTGGTAAGCACCTTCACCAGCCATGGCAAAACAGAGGGTTTACCTCTGCAAAGGAGGTTGGACAGGCTGACATTCCAAGGCAGCCCTTCACTAGCCTGTGTCTTCTGGCCCCACCAAACCTCCAAGTCCTCAGGCCCCTTCTCCTCTGCTCCTTCTCACCCATCTAATCCCTGTTTGGCTTAAAACATTTGTAGGTATGGCTGAAAAACTCCATGCCTCAGTCTCTCCACCAATGAAAAGGAGGTCAACAGATCCCCCTGCCTCCCTGGGAGGATGCAGATGCTGGGAGATGACAGATATCTGGGGGATGTCATGGGCCCAGGTCAACACCTCAGGGGCCCTGCCTCTCCTGCTCCTATCACAAGTTTTGTGCCAAGAAGACTGTCAGTCCTACAGACATTCACAATCCCCCATCCCAGAAATTATGGGAAAGAGCCTAGGACTGATAAAGATCAGAGCAGCACAAGTCAAAGGTAAACCTCTCAAACTGCTTGTACAAAGTGCTTCAACGATGGGCAAAGCCTTACCTGTAGCTCCATGGGCTATTACCAAATGTGGCTCACTTCAAAGCAGGCAGTGGGTCACCAGTGAATCCCAAACAGACTGTCCCAACTAGGCTGCATGTCCTCAGCAGTAGAATTTGCTGTGTGGGTTGGGGAAATGCCTGTGCAATCCGCATTTCTCTCCTTTTTCACCTCTTTTCTTTCCAATTTATTTTTAACTTCTTCCTTTTTTCATCAAAACACATTTCCTGACACAAAAAGGTCTTGGTAAATGTTCTCTGACTCATTGAACTGCCCAAACAGATCTGCTGCCTCCACAGGAACTGGACCATCCTGTTTGTGGGTGCAACAGCCACCCTCAGCTGTGTGCCGAGGGCTGAGGAAAGCTGTTCCCATTGTGAAACACTCCCTGCCAGATGTGGGCAAGCCCTTCCTCACATCTGGAGAGCAGTCAGACATTTTGATTTTCTCTCTCAGTTGTTTGTTACCTTGTCCCAAAGCAGGACAAGCCTTGGAGATGAGGCTCTTTGCTCCTTTCTGCAGAGTAGTCCACCAGCTTTTTGCCTGTGGGACCATTGTTTTGTAAACCCAGAAGGAAGACACTGCCTCCTGAAAAGTAGCTTCACTCTTGGGAGAGAAGTTTGTCTCCTCTCCTTTGCTACCCTGTGAGGAATCAGTGGGAGTTTGGGTACTGGATTTGTTCAGTAGTACAAATTCACAGTGATTTGGGCTGCTGGTACTGTGTCCCTTGGTGGCCATTGCTCTTCACAACATGCCTGACACCAGCTTTTTCCTGTCCCAATACACGGAGTGCTGCAGAGGTTGCAAAGCCTGTGGTGATCATGGCCAAACATAACAGTCAATAAAGCTGATGACCCTTGCTTAGTTGTCCAGTCAGCCAAAGGAAACATTCCCCTTGGGCTGCTGTACAAGATGCTTCAGAAATTAGGGAAATTGCTCCTACAACATCCCTGGGAAATCTCAGGGACACACCATCCATCAATATTTTGCAGTCTGAGACAATAGCAACATCTCCTGCTACACTGGTACAAGCCCAGACACTGTGCTCTGGCTTCCTGTAAACAAAAGCTGTTTAGCTCTAAATTTTTCTTTTGGCTCAGGCTTCCCTGGTTCAGTGAGGATGGTATCGAGATAATCATCACATGGATTGTATTCCTGGTACAAGGCTCCGTTGCACAATGGCGCCTCTTTATAATGCCCTTGGAGCAAGGAACTTCCAGGCTGGTTTCTCTGCCAGGCAAGACTGGACGTCAGGTCTCAGCATGAAGCCAAGGGAGAAGTGGTAAACAGTGAGGATCTGAAAGGGGAGCAGGGAAATCTGGGACTGAGGGTTAACAGATTAACAGATAAACATTTACACGCTGCAGTGCAAAGGATGAGAGAGTACAAAGGATCTGGGCTGGAGTGGAACAGGACGTTTTTCCCAAAGACAAAGCAGTAGAGGAGCGGTCTTTCCTAGGGAAAAAGTGTTTGTGGTCCAGGATTTTTCAGGCCAGACCAGAACAAACACAAGTTATTTCCCCACTTGAAAATTAACCTACACTTTGAAAGGGTTT